CCTGCCACTGCCACCCCGCAGGTGTGTGGGGCTGTGCTGAGATGGGCTCCAGCTGCAAACCCCTGCCCTAGCTGGGGCTGGCTGGGAGGGAGGGTTTGGGTCAGTTCTCCCTTGTCAGGGGACTCTTTATCTCCCTGCCCCATGTCTCTCTCTGGTTGGGGTTGAGCCTCAAGGCTGGCCGGGGTCCCCGCAGGCTCCCTGCCGCCCCAGTGTGACAGCTCGGGGACCTGCATCTGTAAAGCCAACGTGACGGGCTGGAAGTGCGAGCGCTGCAAGGACGGCTACCACAGCCTCAGCGAAGGTGGCTGCAGGTGAGGAGGAGCCCAGCCCCAGGAAGGAGCAGTGGGATGGGACTGGAGCTCATCTCACACCTTCATCTCACCCCATGCAGACCCTGCACATGTGACCCTGCAGGCAGCGTGGGCACCTGTGACCCCAACATGGGGCATTGCACCTGCAAGGAGAGGGTGGAGGGGCACTTGTGCAACAGGTAAGCACTGTGGGATGGGGATGAGACCACAGCCCCCTTGGGATCAATGCCAGAGCTCAGTGGTCGATTCAGGGCAGGCATCTCTGCTCCTGTGGGGCATTGGTGCTTCCCCAGCCCCTACACGCAAACCCCTCACAGGGACTTTGCAATGGGAATTCCGTGGGGTCGCTCCCTGCAGAGGCCCTGGCTGGCTGGCAAGTCTGTAGGGCTACACCCCTCTGGACCACTGGGACTGGGATCACCTGGAGCTGCCACCAGTGAACCCTTGGGATGCTGCTGTGGTCCTCCATGGCTCTGCCTGCCCCATGCCACCTGCTCCTGTTTTCTGCCCATGCCCAGGTGCCAGCCAGGTTCATTTAACCTGCAGCCCCACTTTTTCCCAGCTGCTTCTGCTACGGCCACTCCACCGCCTGCACAGAGGCAGATGGCTACGAGGTGACCCATGTTCACTCTGACTTCAGCCAAGGTACTGAACCCCCAGCCCTGGGCAAAACGGAGGGCACAGTTGAGCCAATTCCAGCCAAAAAACTCCGGCAATTTGGGAAAGCTGGGGCTGAGCATCCCCCTCTGGGGCTGAGTGTCCTGCTCTGGGGCTGAGCATCCCCTTTTGGGGCTGAGTGGTAGTGATGGGTGAGGGGGATTTCTCTGGCTTGCCCCTATTTTGCTGTTAAACCTCTGCTGCTGCCCCCCAGCTCTGTGGGGAGGGCTCTCCCTGGCTGTGCATGGCTCAGGGAGGGCTGCAGGTCTGGGCATGGCCTTCCCACCACACCAGTGGCTGGATGCGTGACAGGACTGGATGCATGGCAGGGCTGGATTTGTGCGGGATGTTCAGGGAAACCCTGCCATCTGCTGCATAGCTTGTCGTGTGCAGCCCCAGATGTGGGCACACTGTGGCCCCCAGTGCAGCCCCTGCTTGCCAGGACCCCCACGGGCACCCACTGCAGGCAGCCCGGCTCCCTGCCTCGCTCGTACCCAGACACGAGGCACAGGCCAGCGAGCAGACGGAAGCGAACGCGCCAGGCGTGGGTTTATCCTGATTGCCTTGAAACCACGCTGCCAATTGCTGCGCTGCTGTAATGTGTTCTGTGGCCTTGAAACACAGCCAGGCTTTAAACAGTCTTTTTTCCACCCTTCATGCAGCCAGTTTGGGGCTGTTCCTTTAGGGACAGGGTTGGCAGAGCCCTGGCCTGGGTTGCAAGAGGCTCAGCACAGCTGGGCAGCGTAGGTGAGGGTGCAGACACCCACCCTCCTACAGCCCCACTCCCCAAAGTGCTCCCCAACCCGCAGTTCAGCTGGATCTGCTGGAATTATCCTGTGCTGGGTGAAAGGGTCCAAATTCAGGATGATTTGATAACCGAGCACAGCCCACTCAAGAGACTGGGAGGGATTTCCAAGTGTTCGTCCTGTGAGCGTTTGGGGCTGGAAGAAATAACTAACCCTGGGGAGTTTGGGGGGAGTTTTACTGATTTCCAAAGGAAACCAACTTAATGCAATTACACCTCATCTCCCCCTGAGCTTCCTGCACTCTCCAGCCCACAGTAACCTTGGAACTGCAGCCCAGGCAGGGAGGCAAAAGTTCAAAGATAATAATTTCCTCCAAATCTAAGAAAATAAACAGATGGGGGGTTGGCTAGGACCACTCTCCAGCACATGAGAGAGCAGAGCCCGAGCGGAGCAGGGTGTTACAAAGTGCTGGCCCCTTACAAGACGCTGGAGAGTCTTGGGAGGAGGGACAGAGCCCCCAGAAGCAGCACCTCGCTGGTGCTGGGCTGTTGGGGACTCGCTGCTCCCTTCATCCATGCACCGCGGCTGTGTGCCATCACGCAGGGCTGGAGGACTGGGCTGCCACAGCTCCAGGCACTGGGAACCTGCCCCTGCACTGGGCTGATGGAGAGATCGTCACTGAGTGGGATGGAGAAGAGCCAGTGGATTTTCTTGCACCAGGTATTGCATGTGCTGGGTCCCTGGGGTTCTGCTATGCCGTGGGGACCTCCTGGTGTGCTCATGGGACATCCCTCCTCTGAGCTGGTGCATGAGGCACTGTGCTCCATCCCAGAGCTGAGCGCATTTTGATAACATGAGGCAGTGGGGGGATCAGGGTGGTGGGCTGGGACCCTGGGAGGGCAGGTTGGAGGTGGCCCTGCTCTGGGGGGGTGACCCTGGCTCCTGGTGATGCTGGTGGGAACAGGACCATGCAGGGGTACATCCATGTCCTACAGACTTTGCTCCTCTTTCCCCTCACAGAGAAGTTTCTGCAGAATCAGCGTCTCAGTTATGGGCAGCTCCTGTCCCTGCTGCTGGGAGTGGAGGTGAATGGGACAGGGATGGAGACTGAGGTGCCCCTGCCCCAGGTCCAGCTGGTGCTGGAGGGCGAGGGGATGGCGATCACCATGTCCAGCAGTGAGAGCCAGCCCCAGCATGGAAAGCAGGCTGTCACCTTCAGGTACCTGTCATGGCACTTTGAGGAGCCTTGGCTGGATTTGGGACACAGAGTGTCTGATCTTTCCTTGGCTGCCCTGTGTTGTGGGGTTCAGTCCCATTCCCTGCCCTCCTTGGGGATTTAACTGTGCCCCCATCACTGCTTCTGGGTCCCGATCAGAGAGCCAAGCTGTCCTGTGGTGTGTGGCTGTCATTCCTTCCCTGTCCTTCCTCCCACGCTCTTTCTTCAACAGGCTGCATGAGGCAGAGGATGTAGAGCCTTTGCTGTCAGCCTTCAGCTTCCAGCGCCTGCTCTCCAACCTGAGTGCCCTCCGCCTCCGTGTGAGCCATGGCTCTGTGCAAGGTGGGTGGCTCCATGCAATGTCCCCATGGGGACCAAGCTGGGATGGGGACATCAGAGCAGCATCAGGCTCTCAGGGATGAAAGGCCTTGCAGGGGGTGTGCTGGGGCAGGGACTGGCTCCTCTCTGTGAACACCCCTGGACTCTCCAAGTGGTGTTTTGGGGTCTCCTACACCTGTCTGGAGCATTTCCAGGCAGGATGGAGAGCAGGGCCAGGGAACATGCCATCCCACGCCCATGCTGCTCTCCTCTCTCACAGGCAGGCTGTCCCTGAGCAAGGTCCAGCTCACGTCTGCTCGCCCTGGGCTCGGGGCACGGGCAGGCTGGGTGGAGAAGTGCACATGTCCCCTGGGCTATGCTGGGCAGTTCTGCCAGTCCTGTGCTCCTGGCTTCAAGCGGGAGATCCCCTTCGGTGGCCCCTTCGTCAGCTGCGTCCCCTGCACCTGCAACCAGCACGGGGACTGCCACCCCCTCACAGGTACGCACCCCCCGGCCCCTCTGTTTGCCCCAATGCTGCGTGCATGGGTGACAGAGTCATGTCTTTGGTTGTTTCTGAGCAATGCTGGAAACCATCCATGAGGTTGAGGTACCCAAAACTTGCCAGTTGAATTGCAGTTGTTCTAGGGACTGGGTTCATAACCACAGAGACAGATAACTGGATATCAGGAAAAACTTCTTCACCAAAAGGGCAGTCAAGCATTGGAACAGGCTGCCCAGGGAGGTGGTGGGGTCACCTTCCCTGCTGGGATTTAAAAGACTGGTACATGAGGTGCTTAGGGACATGGTTTAGATGTGGAATTGGCAGTGTTTGGTTTATGGTTGGACTCGGTGATCTTAAAGGTCTTTTCCAACCACTACGATTCTGTGATAATTAGTGAACTGCAATAAAGATGGTGATTTATAATAAGAGGGGCATCTTTCATGGTACTTTATGATCTCAAAGGAGGAGAAAGGAAAGGTGCTGGTCCTCAGTGGGGCAGGGGAGGCAGGAGTTAGGGCAGGACAGAGGCACAGGGTTTTGCCAGGACGGGTCTCACAGGCAGCTGTCCCAGCCCGGGTGCTGCCAGCCTGAACGCTTCCCTTCGTTTATTTTTCCACTCCTTCCTGCCACCCACTTTTCCTTTCTTTTCCATCATGCGTCTTCACCTGGATGTGGGGAAATGGAAAAATACCCATTTCCTCCTGTGCAACCCGCCTGGTATGACCTGACCCCACAAATCATGGGGAAAATCCTCCCCCTGGCTCCTTCTCTCTCTCCAGTCAAGCAGAGCATCTGCCTGGAGGTGGGGGGATCCTTGAGCATCCTTCCTCCTCCTCTCGGTTGACTTCAGAAGGCCATGACTCACCGGCTCGGCTCGCAAGGAGACGCTCGCTCCCCGCTGCGTGCCGGCCGGCTGCTTATGTTTTCCATGACAGGCTGGAAATGACATGCCTGGCCGCTGGGAAATGTGTTGTCGATTATCGCAGGCGCCGACAGGCTCCGTGCGCATTGACGGTGCTGCCTGCATGTGCCAGTGCCACCTTGTCCCCATGCCATGGGGGAGCACGGGGCTGGCGCTGGAGCCCCAACGTCCTCTCCAAAACCTTCTCCCTTGAGCAAGGACAGAGCAGGGAGGGAAAATGTTCTGAGTCCTGGCTGGGGACGTGCAATCCCAGCATGATCCCTTGGCTGGAGTTGTGCATCCCTCTCGGCACCCACAGTGTGCCCTCCTCTGCACTTGGCTCTCCATCCCTCCCGTGTCCCCACTGTTACTCAGGGCTGGGTTTTTGCAGACCCTCAGCTCCCTTTTCCTTCTCGCAGGGCACTGCCAGTGCTTGCACAATACAGAAGGTCCCTCCTGCGAGCGCTGCAGCTCTGGGTTTTACGGCAACCCCTTTGTAGGGCACTCTGATGACTGCAAGCCATGCCCGTGCCCCGGCCACTCACCCTGCACGGAGGTGCCCGGCAGTGGGGAGGTGGTCTGCACCCACTGCCCCCCAGGACAGAGAGGTGAGGCTGGGGGTACCTAGGGTGTGGGCAGGCGAGGGGGCTGTGGACAGTGCCAGCACAGCCGACCCTCCCCATCTTTTTGCCTTCCCCAGGAAAACGCTGCGAGCTCTGTGATGATGGGTTTTTCGGGGACCCACTGGGGCAGAGGGGCCCCGTGCGTCCCTGTATCCCCTGCCAGTGTCACGGGAATGTGGACCTCAACGCCGTGGGCAACTGTGACCCTGTGTCCGGCCAGTGCCTGCGCTGCCTGTACAACACGACGGGCAAGCACTGCGAGAGGTGTCAGCCGGGCTTCTACGGGGACGCGCTGGCTCCCAACCCTGCCGGGAAATGTGCACGTACGTACGGTCCCCTGCATCCCACTGCAGCCAGAATCCTCCCAGCAGTGGGGGCAGAGTGTGGAAAGGGGATGCCCAGCAGGTTTAGGGGCTGATCGATGGTCCAAGTTGGCCCCAAATGCTCAGGAATGGCCTTTGCCCCCTCTCTCTGCTTCTGTCCTTCCCTGGAGATATCCTGCTCTGCAGGGGTTTAGCCTCTTGTAGCTCCATTTGATGGGGGGGCCATGGCCCTCCACATTGTGGGGGGCTCAGCCCCGGTGCCCCATTCCCACTGTCCCATCTGCCAGCCCCATACCGGGATGTAAGTGGTATTTTGTCTCCCATAGCATGTGATTGCAACCCCGACGGCTCAGCCCCGGGGCTGGAGGGCTGCGATCCCAGCACGGGCCAGTGCCACTGTCTCCCGCACGTGACAGGCAGAGCCTGTGGCCTCTGCCAGCCCAGCTACTACGGCCTGCAGCCCACGGTGGGGTGCAAGAGGTATGTGGGGCACAGTGTGGGGCTGCAAGGGGACAGCCATGGCTCTGCGTCCCCAGCTCTGGTCTCTGCTCTTTGCACCCATTGCTCGCTCATCACCCTCCACCTCTCGGTGCCAGCTGTGAGTGCCACTCGATGGGGTCACGGGACAGCGGGTGCCACATGCTGACAGGGCAGTGCTCCTGCCAGCCAGGCGTCACGGGGAAGCAATGCGACCGATGCCAACACGGCTTCTTCGGCTTCTCTGCTCGGGGCTGCCGAGGTAACAAGGACAGGGATGGCACATTGGTCCCAAAACCAGGTCTGGCAGCTGCAGTATGATATTTTCCTGTCACCGTTGCAGCTTGCAACTGCTCCCCGCTGGGCTCCATCACCCAGCAGTGCCACGAGAACAGCACCTGCCTCTGCCACCCCGGCTTTGTGGGCTACAATTGCCCTGCCGAGCTCCCGCTGCCAGCAGTGTCCCACCTGCTACGGGCTGGTGAAGGACAAGGTACAGCCTGTGCCCCGACAAGGTGGGTGCAGCACCCCGACCCCCGCGCTGCCTCACTGTCTGTGTCCCCTCGTGTCTCACCCGCAGGCTG